ATTATTACATTTATTGAAGTTTGGCGGAAGAGTGAGATCTTTGAATTCAATTAAGAGATCGGTGAAATTGGTTTTGTTATTAATCGTACTAATTGTCTCGTAATGGGTTAATTGAGACACACATCTGGTGCGTAAATTAGTTTTTGCATCGATTAATTGTTTGTTTTTGATGTCAACTAATAGATTAAATTCGTCGAGAAAATCTGCGCCAAGTATTGGCTTTGAAACGTTGGCAATTAAAAATGTCCAAGTAAAGTTACGTCGTAGTCCTAAGTCGACTGTGCAAGTGAAATGACCGAAAGTTTCTATAGGTGTGCCATTTGCGGCGAAAAGTCTATACGTTTCCGGATTAATTAACTTTTTGAAATAACTTTTTGGTAAAACAGAGAAATCTGCGCCGGTGTCTACTAAATATTTGCGAAGATTTGATCTATCAGTGACGAAGAGACGGTGAGATAAGTTGCTAGCCACTTCGCCTACCGTCGAGGGCGAAGTGGGTTTTAGTTTTCCGAACTGTTTGTGGAATTGTTGTCTCTCTTCTTGAATTTACATGGTTGTTCACACTTGCGTGCCATGGCACCGAATTTGTAGTGAAAATAACAATATGGACTCTTCCCCCTAGATTTAGAGCGTGAACGATTTTTTGTTTCGATAACTCTTGACGAATGTGTGCCTTGCTTGCTATTTGATTTTAATTCGCGAATAGACTTTGATAGTTCATTGATTTGTGCTTTTAATTCCGAAATAGAAAAATTATCCGTTTTAATTTCATTGACATTCATCAATGTGGTTTGTTTTAGCGTTGTCAATTCTAAAATTTTATCGGCTAAATTGGAGCACGTTGTTAAATCGTCGTTAGAAATGGCTACAACGGCCCTGACATTCTCAGGTAATCGATCGATCCATAATGATTTTAATGCGTCGTCTGTGAGAGAATTTTTTGCCAAATCGCGCATTTTTCGTAATAAATGTGACGGCTTGTCGTCACCGAGTTCAATTTCAGTGAGCAAAACCCTTAATTTCTTTTGGTCAGACTGTGTATATTCATCGATTAGACGTTTTTTTATTGAATCATATTTATCTGATGTGGGTGGATTACGAACCAAATCAGAAACCATTGATAAATATTGTGGTTCTAGTGCCGCGATAACATGATTGTATTTTGAATTGTCGTTAGAAATTCCTGCGTTTCTAAATTGAGCTTCCATTTGAATAAAAAATAAATCTGGTTCATTCTTCACGAATGTGGGTGCTTTTATTGTGATACGACTTATTTCTGGTAAATGCGAAGTGTTAGCGGTACTTACATTAGATGCATTTCCTGCATTTTGATCGTCATCGTCGTTTGCCATGATGTATGAGTATGTGTAAAGAATGCTGTTATCGCCGAGATTTTGTGTCTCAATCCTGTACTCAATGATGAATGGTTTATCCAATGATCCTCGCTAGATTGCTTAAAATTTGTACCGATGTTAAAAAAATCCTTGGTGCACCACGTGTGAAATTCGCTGAAAATGTTGCGAACGACCCTCGTATGGCTTCACGTATTGAACGGTGGCACCAATTGACCACGTGCTAATTGACGAAAGACACGTGGTATCGTTGAACGTTTAATGACTGTCCACGTTTCACCTGCAGAAAGTGATTACGGTAAATGCTGCTCTACTTTATCACACATGCGGTCGTCTGAATGCTTCGAAATGTGTTTTTGTTAAACCTCGTGTTCGCTTTTGACTTTCACCGTTTTTGTAATTAAAAAATTCACACGTTGATTCTATGCGAAATGATCCGTTTTATTGATGTGTTCCACTCCTGAGTCGGGCACATAAGCGCGATGAAGAAAATGTGAACACTTTTATTTGTGTCGAAATCAATTGCAAAATGATTTTGTTGAATAAATCGTTGATTAAATTGTGTGAAAATTGGCTGTTAACAACGTTCGGTTCATTTCCTGTCGGGGTCACCAATGTGGATGTGTTGATAATTAATTAAAAACTCCACTAGTTAATTTTACTTTAAAATAAATATTATTTAATGAATCGTTTAAAAGGTTACAATTGCGTAGTTCTGTCTAATGCGTGCGAGTGCGGTCGATGCGATACGATGTTCACTGGACGACGGTCAATCGATGAGAGTGATGTTCATTTTTCGTTCCGTCACTCGCTTCCAAAAAACTACTATAATTGTGACAGAAATTTGACAAAGTGTTTCGTTTGTTTTTATGCATCTGGCAATATTTAGTACCAAAATTTAATAGCAGTGAAGCTGCCACATACTCCCCCACCAGTGATCGACTAGGATCACGATTTAAAAGTCACAAAACGATCTGGTTTTTTTATAATGCGTCCCGATCGTGTTCTAACTTCTGTGGGTTCACTGTTATTTGGAATAGCTATATTGTTGCATGATTTGTTTGATACATTATTCTTATCTAAATTTGAATTATTTACAATGTTATTTGTGTAATTTTCGATAAAAGTATTGTCGATATTGGCTGCTTTTAATCGGTCAACGGATACCGTTACCACCTTGCT